CGGGGTGAGCCGGTGGATGGGAGCGGCCTCGGAAGGCAGACGCGGAACCTCTAGGCCTACCGGGGGGGGGCATGTCTCTGCGAAGAGCTGAGAACTGTTGCCTGGCGTTCGAGCACCTGTATGGCAGCTGAACCGAACAGCTCCCCCGGCTCCTACATGTCTCTGATAAGGGTGACTGTGCCAGCCAAACCTGGCGACGAGTCTGGACGAGAGTGGATCGGGTGCAGCGGCGTGCTCTGTACGGGCACCAGAATGGAGAGCCAAGGGGAGTGACTTCACCTGGGCTAGCTCAGTAGTGAGTAGGTCCACCCTGGAGGACAGCCTATCAGGCTTAGTCCTCTTCTTGGGCGGTGCACCCGCAGCCTCTGCGGCCCAACGCCTAGGATGGGTAGGTTGGGCTGGAGTCGACTGTGCGGGGGGAAGGCCACCCTCAGTCAGTAGTTCAACCTCGGCTAGTCTAGCAGCTCTTACCGCACGAGGCATGATGGTGCAATTCATGCACGGGTCCTCCGAAAGGCCCTCCCTCAGATGCTCGAGGCCAAGACAAGAGGGGCAAAGGTCATGGCCATCCTCTGGTTAAAGAGGAGCCATACAGGTGTTAGAGCCGTTAGACCTAGCGATAGCTAGAGCACTCAGCTGACTGTAAATAACTGGGCCAGGAAACAAATATGCAGTGGAGGGGAGTGAGCACAATAGTAGTTAGCTTGAGCGTGAGCACTCTGCTAACTGGGGTGAGAAAAAAATGAAGTCAGTTAATGGGTTTATGCCGTGAGAGGAGAGCGGGAATACTCTCTCCACTAGCGCCGTAGCGAGTTAGCCTAAGCGAGAGCACTCTGCTAACTGAAGGATGGAACGGGCATTAAACCAACTGTGTGCAGGGAGAGGGGAGCGGATTCACTCTCTTCACTAGCGCTGTAGCAAGTTAGCTTTGAGCGAAAACACTCAGCTAACTGGACGATAGAACAGGTAAGGAACCAAATGTAAGCGGTGAAAGGGGGGCGGAGACGCTCCCTTCACTAGCGCATTAACAAATTAGCGAGAGCCCTCGGCTAACTTGTACACAATTATCTCATTAGCTTGAGAATAGATAGCACAATCAGCGATAAATGGTAGCGATCTCACCGGCTGACGTGCAGGAGCGTCCGCTCTTTACCGGTCCGGAGCTCCTGGGGTCCGAGCGGTGAACACCGCGGTCCCCTCCCTTGGGAGGGCGGACAGCTCGTCGCAGCCTTTGGAGGGCGAGCGTTTCTAGCCCGCAGCTCCGATCGAGATGATCACAAGGCTACAGGTAGCGATGAGCTAGAATTTTCAATAAGCTAGCTTGGCTTCTACTCATAAAGTAGTAACCTGCGCAGCGAGAAGATGAAAAAGAACTGAACTCGTTGACAACACCGGAACTTATACCTTCCGGGGTCATACGAGGTCACACGTGACTTTGTTGATATAAATATTCGACCTACGCATGCGCGAGACAGAAGATATCTAGTGCTAAAGCACCGCCTCTGGCGGTCAGTAACGGAGCGTCCACACAGCAGCGTTAAAAAAATCTTGGAGGTGGGCGTATCTGAAGCTTGGGGATTTTTTGCGAGCAAGGCACCAACAACCAATCACATGAATCTCCCGCCCCCGACATACGAAGCAAAAAAGTTTGAAGTAAACTGGATATAAACTCCCCAAACAGGAGAAAACCTACCACTGTCTCTGCCACCTCCCTCCATGCCTGGCTCCTCCGGTTTGTATCCCGGTAGGTAAATAGGGACTGGTCATAAAGCACCGGGTGATTCCCTACCGCTCATTTCTCCTCCATGTTTTGGAATATGAGGAAATGACCTGCGGTATGTCTCTCCCAGCATACACGCCGTTTGATTGGCTTGAGCTTGAACTGTCAGATTTGCGTACACGGGATTTGATTGGCTGACGCTTCCACCTCAGCCTCAAAAGTTGAACATTGCTCAACTTTGAATCCTGAAAATCCTGAAAATCTCCGCTCTGCTTCCCACAATGCAGTTCGGCGAAAAGTGAGGGAAAGTGACGTCACCCCATTCAAAGTGAATGGGTAGAAGCGTTCCAAGATTTTTTAACGCTGCTGTGTGGACGCGCCGTAAGGATGAAATAGAACACATATCTACACACTGTGTGACTTCAACGTGTGTGTGTGTGTGTGTGTGTGTGTGTGTGTGTGTGTGTGTGTGTGTGTGTGTGTGTGTGCTTACCTGCCCAGGTGTTTCCTCAGTGTGTTGTACAGCTGACAGGTGAGCTCCTCCTCCTCTGATCCCTCGCTGTCCTGATCCATACACACCTCCTCTATACACACACACACACACACACACACACACACACACACACACACACACACACACACACACACACACACACACACACACACACACACACACACACACACACACACACACACACACACACACACACACACACACACACACACACACGTAGAGTCACACAGGTAGAGTCACACAGGTAGAGACACTGCAGTATGTAGGAATGTGTGTGTGTGTGTGTGTTTGTGTGTGTGTGTGTCACCTGTGATGGAGGTGAGCAGGATCTGAACCAGGTGAGCCACAGTGACCAGGTGGAGCAGGTGCAGGTGAGCCGAGTCCACCGTCCTGTGTTCTGATTGGTCCAGACAGTGAATCGAGCTGTACGACATCACACTGTACACCTGCAGACACACACACACACGCACACACACACACACACACACACACACACACACACACACACACACACACACACACACACACACACACAGAGTTACAAACTGTATACCAATCTATATACAGTTTATGTGTGTGTGTGTGTGTGTGTGTGTGTGTGTAACTCACCAGCAGGTGGAACATGTCAATGTCGAGGACACACAGAGAGTCCTCTACCTGAGAGTCAGGAACCAGGGCTGCAACAACACACAGAATACAAACATCACCTGTGAACGTGTGTTACCTGGGAACAGTCTGATGAAGTGTGTGTGTGTGTGTGTGTGTGTGTGTGTGTGTGTGTGTGTGTGTGTGTGTGTGTGTGTGTGTGTGTTACCTGGGAACAGTCTGATGAAGTGTGTGTGTGTGTGTTACCTGGGAACAGTCTGATGAAGTGTGTGTGTGTGTGTTACCTGGGAACAGTCTGATGAAGTGTGTGTGTGTTACCTGGGAACAGTCTGATGAAGTGTGTGTGTGTTACCTGGGAACAGTCTGATGAAGTGTGTGTGTGTGTGTTACCTGGGAACAGTCTGATGAAGTGTGTGTGTGTGTTACCTGGGAACAGTCTGATGAAGTGTGTGTGTGTACCTGGGAACAGTCTGATGAAGTGTGTGTGTGTTACCTGGGAACAGTCTGATGAAGTGTGTGTGTGTTACCTGGGAACAGTCTGATGAAGTGTGTGTGTGTTACCTGGGAACAGTCTGATGAAGTGTGTGTGTGTGTGTTACCTGGGAACAGTCTGATGAAGTGTGTGTGTGTGTTACCTGGGAACAGTCTGATGAAGTGTGTGTGTTACCTGGGAACAGTCTGATGAAGTGTGTGTGTGTGTGTGTTACCTGGGAACAGTCTGATGAAGTGTGTGTGTGTTACCTGGGAACAGTCTGATGAAGTGTGTGTGTGTTACCTGGGAACAGTCTGATGAAGTGTGTGTGTGTGTGTTACCTGGGAACAGTCTGATGAAGTGTGTGTGTGTGTTACCTGGGAACAGTCTGATGAAGTGTGTGTGTGTTACCTGGGAACAGTCTGATGAAGTGTGTGTGTGTTACCTGGGAACAGTCTGATGAAGTGTGTGTGTGTGTGTTACCTGGGAACAGTCTGATGAAGTGTGTGTGTGTGTTACCTGGGAACAGTCTGATGAAGTGTGTGTGTGTTACCTGTGAACAGTCTGATGAAGTGTGTGTGTGTGTTACCTGTGAACAGCCTGATGAAGTGTGTGTGTGTTACCTGTGAACAGTCTGATGAAGTGTGTGTGTGTTACCTGTGAACAGTCTGATGAAGTGTGTGTGTGTTACCTGTGAACAGTCTGATGAAGTGTGTGTGAGCCGTTGTTGGAGGAGCTGCAGTCCAACAGGAGGAACTGAACCTGGTGAGAGAGCTCAGACAGTCGTCCTGACACACACACACACACACACACACACACACACACACACACACACACACACACACACACACACACACACACACACACACACACACACACACACACACACACACACACACACACACACACACACACACACACACACACACACACACACACACACACACACACAATGAATGAGCTGAACCCTTGAAGCCCCGCCCCCTGCTGTCCATCAGAGTGTGTGTTACCTGTCTGCACGGTAAACTCCCAAACAACGGCTTGTCCTCGTCCATCAGGAGGCGCTCTGCAGGACACACACACCTGAGTTCATATTCACCTGTACTGACAGGTGTGTATTTACCTGTACAGGTATGTGTGTGTGTGTTTACCTGTACAGGTGTGTGTGTGTGTTTACCGATACAGGTGTGTTTACCTGTTCAGGTGTGTTTACCTGTACAGGTGTGTATTTACCTGTACAGGTGTGTGTGTGTGTTTACCTGTACAGGTGTGTGTGTGTGTGTTTACCTGTACAGGTGTGTGTGTTTACCTGTACAGGTGTGTGTGTGTGTGTTTACCTGTACAGGTGTGTGTGTGTGTTTACCTGTACAGGTGTGTTTACCTGTACAGGTGTGTTTACCTGTTCAGGTGTGTTTACCTGTACAGGTGTGTATTTACCTGTACAGGTGTGTGTGTGTTTACCTGTATAGGTGTGTGTGTGTGTTTACCTGTACAGGTGTGTGTGTGTGTTTACCTGTACAGGTGTGTGTGTTTACCTGTACAGGTATGTGTGTGTTTACCGATACAGGTGTGTTTACCTGTTCAGGTGTTTACCTGTACAGGTGTGTTTACCTGTACAGGTGTGTGTGTGTGTTTACCTGTACAGGTGTGTGTGTGTGTTTACCTGTACAGGTGTGTTTACCTGTACA